TCAGAGCATTCTCATCTGACATCCTGTGCAATTTTTCCACACCAGATAAATTAACAAATCTAAAAAGTTGTGTCTATTTTTAAGTAGGATATCCTATTTTAGAACCATAGAGCTGTAGGGCAGAAAGGGATCTTAAGAACTGTAGTTCAGCCCCTAGCGCTGAGGCAGGACAAAGTAAGTTAAACTGTTTGTGGCTGGTGTTTGTCTAAACTATTGTTAAAACTCTCCAATGATAGAGCTTCTGCAACTTCCCTTGGAAGGCTGTTGCAGTTAGACTACTATTAGAGTTAGAATTTTTTTCCTAGTATCTAACCTATATCTTCCTTGCTCCAGTTTAAGCCTGTTTATTTCTTGTTCTACCTTAGTAGACAGTCTATTTATGACTGCCCTTAACATATTTGGAGACTGATGTCAGGTACTTCCCCACCATTCCCCACAGTTTTCTTTTTTCAGGCTTAAACAAGCCCAGTTTGGTTTTTGTTTTTTTAAATTTTTCCTCACAGGCCAGGTTTTCTAAACTTTTCATCACATTTCCTCTGGATTCTCTTCTATTTGTCCACATCTTTCCTAGAATGTGGCTCTCAGAATTGTACGCAGCCCTCCAGCTGAGCCTCACCAGCACAAAATAGAATAGGACATTAAGTCCCATATCTTACCTGTAATGCACCTATTAATACACAGCAGAATGATATAGCCTTTTTAGCAACTGCATCGTATTGTTGTCTCACTCAGTTTGTGATCCTCTGTCCTTCTAGAATATTGTCAGCAGTTCTATTTTCTATTTGTGTTAGGGATGTTAAAAATTATGTATTAGGGTAACTGTGTAATTGCTGAAAATCTCAACAGTTATATGATTAGTCGCCTTGTGGGCTCTGCAGCATAAAGCCACCAGCCCCTGCTGGCCTGTCTTCCTGGGAAGTGGCTTCGCTGCCCTGCCACACAGAAGCTGCCTCCCAGGGCATTTGCTGAGTGTAACTGAGGCGATTAACCGATGAGCATTAGTTTATCGTTTAAATGTTTATTTGGTTCTACTCTAACATCCCTAATTTATGCATTTGATTTTTCCTTCCTAAATAGAGTACCTTGCATTTTATTGCATTTTATCTTGACTTCAGGCCCATTCTCTAATATGTTAAAGTTGGAGGACAGGATTAAAATTCAAAACAAAGTGCTTGCAGTCCATCCCAACTTGGAACTTGATAAGTGCATGCTCCACACTTTTATCGAAATCTCTATAGTAACTATTAATACCATGTTTATAAGTTTTCAGTGACTAAGTTTTACTTTAAGTTGAGTTTTAGAAAAACAGTTGGATGTTTTTCAGTTAACACATTATTTTTCAAATAATTCAGAATACAAAATTTGTATTTGTTTTTGTCTTTCTATTTTAGGTAAACATCTAAAACCTTTTTTTTAATGAAACTGACCCTCAATCAAGTATAAATCTTTAATGCCTGGTATCTAAATCGCCCCCACTATGCCAGCAGCTACAGTAGATCATAGCCAAAGAATTTGTGAAGTTTGGGCTTGTAACCTGGATGAAGAAATGAAGAAAATTCGTCAAGTTATTCGGAAGTATAATTATGTTGCCATGGTACGTCTCTGACATCCCTATTTAGTATACCACATGGTCTTGTCATGATTCCCAGTAGATGAGGTAATATTTCTTTTATAGACACACAGAGCTGAGTAAATTTGAAAGTTTTTCTCTGTCACCAATGGAAGTTGATCTAATAAAAAATGATATATCACCTTCCTTGTCTGTCTAATATTTTGTGACCAACACTGCATACAAGTTTTCTCTGTGACATGAAATAAATCTTTTCAAAAGGCTGATTCCAGAGTCCATTGAAGATGATGAAAGTTTAAATTATCGCTTCCAGTACGTTAAATAATATTCATCGCTTCTTTACAAAAAACCAACCAACCAACCCCAAAACTTCTCTTATATGTGATTTGTCCTTTTCATATGTGTTCATTTTTTTTAATTGTATCCTTTGGTATATATGGTTGTGACTATTTTCTTCCACTATTTGATCTGAGGAAGTGGGTCTGGCCCACGAAAGCTCATCAACTAATAAACCATCTTGTTAGTCTTTAAAGTGCTACATTGTCCTGCATTTTGCTTCTTATATTCTCAGTGAGAGGTTCAAAGTTAAGTGTTTTGGAAAGCTGTTCAGATATTTAAATTTGGAGTGGATGGGCTGCAGATAACTTTCTCTTTCTTTGGTTGTTGTTGAGTTGTAAACTTTTTTTTTTTTTTTTTTTAACAGGACACAGAGTTTCCTGGTGTCGTTGCAAGGCCCATTGGAGAATTCAGAAGCAATGCGGACTATCAGTACCAACTGCTGCGCTGTAATGTTGACTTGCTAAAGATAATTCAGCTAGGACTTACGTTTATGAATGAGCAAGGAGAATACCCTCCAGGGACATCAACTTGGCAATTTAATTTTAAATTTAATTTAACGTGAGTGGTGATTAAAATCTTGTTACTGCTGGGTTTTTAGTTTTGGGTTTTTTTTTTTTAACTAAAAATAGTTAAATGCTAAAATAGTTCTGCCTAAATTTTTTGTTTCTAGATTGTTTAACTTTTGGTGGTGCTGATAATGTGAAATAAACTGTAAAATGAATCTTTCTTAGTTTGTAGTATAATATAATTGTAAAACTAGTAAGATGAGGAAAAACTAGACAAGGATTTTTATTTGAAAAGCATTATCTTAATTTTTGTTGCCTTATTCCTTAATAGCAGTTGCACAGGGTGCACAACAAGTTCTCTAACTTTCACTTCAAACTTGGTTAGTAAAAAGAAAACAAGTATGGATGTAAACTTCTGGAGTTTATGAATACAGTTAAATCCTGAATATTAACTTCCTGCTCATTAAGCTTTTTTTTGACACGCACTTGTGTAAGTGGTGGATTTTTCATTAAAAACATCCTAATTGACCTGAAAGCATAGAAAGAAGGCTTTGGTGGTCTATCTACAGAACAGTAATGGCGTAGACAATGATGGTAAACATTCATAAGGTCTGAGTTAGAGCTGTCCACTCTTACCACTAAGAATAGTTTGCATATTAATTAACACACTTGGTGACAGTTTAAGCAAGTCCATCTTGACTTGTATTAATGGTGAACACCTGTTCAAAGAACACAAAGTACTCTAGATGAGCGTATATATGTATAATTTAAATCTTTAGTGATTAAATGTTGGCTCCCCGCAGTTATATGTTTACTTAAATGCATTTTAAATACCTAGTAGTAACGTTACAATGGGATCATGTGAAAGTTGACCACACCCATGATAAATGGATATCTGGCTAACTAAAATCATGCTGAACTAGGGATGTTAAATATCGGTTAATTGAGTAGTCGAGTAACCTCAAGAATTCTTATCTGTTATACTACTCTGTAGTCCCTGGGGGTAGGGCCAGCAGCCAGTGCACTTCAGCCTCACTCCTGAAGATCCCCCTGCCAGTCTATGCTGCTGCCTCTGTATCAGAGGCAGCAGTGCAGGGTGCCACATGGGAGTTGGTCTGCAAGGAAAGCCAGTTTAAGAACCAGTTCCCCTCGTGGACTGGCTGCTTTTTGCCATGTGCTGCTGCCTCTAATAGAGAGGCAGAAGCATGGGGTGGCAGCAGCCCCTTTCTAGGGTGAGTCTGAGCTCCGGGACCCAGTGCAAGCCAGAACTGCTGGCCAACCTGCTAAAAAATTTACTG